GTTTCTGCTAAATCTAGGGGGTCTGTTTGGGATGGTCTAATTTAAAATATGAAGTACATGGTTCAGTCAATGGTGCAGATAGAATTCAAAGGCCAGAGCCCTTTCTATTCAACAGTTGGACCTCAGAACTAACCAATGTTGGTCAAGAATGAAGCCCACTGGCTTTCGTTCAGAGTAAGGCCCACAGCAGCGGCAGCAGGGGTCAAATGCTGGTAGAGACAGAACTACTGCCCAGTCTGTAATACCACCTTCTCCAAGTGCTGGGCCAAGCCTCACTCATGCAGAACTCCTCCAATCTGTAGACAGTGCTTTCTCCCTGGAGGTTCCACCTCATTATCAAATTGGCCTGGAGAAGAAAAGATTAACTTCAAAAAGTTAGTAGCTATTCAAATAACTGAAAAGCTGCTCTTTATGAAATGAAGAGCAGACATACACTCTTAAGTACTTCTGAAACTTAAATGGGCACACAAATTACCTGGAACTCTTACTGAAATTCAGATTCCAATTGAGGGGAAATGGGAGGCGGCCTGAAATTCCTCGTTTCTAACAAGCCTCCAGGTGATATAATGCTGCTGGTCTGAGGAACACACTTGTGTACCTAGGCTCTAAGTAATCCCGAGGGAAGAAAGAGATCCCCTTGGAGGATGCTAAAGTGTAAGAGTCCTAGCTAAAAAACTTTTCAGCCTGTTCAGAGTTATGTGGAAAAGAATGTGATGCTTCAGTATCATGACTGACCAAGCAGAAATTAGGCAATAATTTGGCAATTGCACATTGTAGAGGAAATTTCTGCTCTGCATGGCAGGTGGACTGTCACTAGACTATCACAGTCAACTTCAAACTTTTTTGTTTATGTATGCCCTAAAATATTTTGACAACTATGTATCTACTTGACCATTTCCAGATTGACACCTAAATTTTACATCATATGTTTAAAAGTATTTATTTCTTAATAAAAGATAGAAAATGTTAAGCAATGTGTTTAAAATGAAATGAAGATTGACTAATTTAAACAAATGCTGTATTAGCACCAGCAGGTAAGCTCCAGAAAGCAAGGAATTATTTTGCCTGTATTTTTCAGGTACTTGATCAATGTTGTTGAATGAAATGAAGGTGCCCCAAATATGAAAACAGACATGTGAAAATTTTATCCATGATACTTATATATAGTATCTCGAAATATTTGGTAGCCCCTCAAAATATTCCAGTTATATTTAAAAAGTGATCTTCTAAAAAAAAGCATCTTGACCTACACTGCTCAGGCTGTTCTAAATTCAGTGCATCCCAACCATGGTCAAAATACCAATGTTTTAATGTTAAGTTGTATATAATACACAACAGAATGATGATCAAGGCAAAAAAAGATTTTTAAAAACCTAGAAAAGGTAAAGTGCCTTTGCTTATGTTTTTCTCTTTTTTTAAAAAAATAACAGCTTCTATTTAAACATTATTTGATATCTCAAAGCTGCCTCCCTGATCAACATCTGTCTGAATTTCCATCATTTTGTTCCATTTACATGTGTAAATGGAACATGTGTAAATGTTCTGATGTCAGAGCATTCTGGGGTCTGGGTTAGGACTCCAAATGCCAACTACATCTCTGAAATACCATAGAGTGACTATTTTCATACTTTCTGGAGGCCACATTCTGCCCACCAATGGAAATTTGCCTAGTGTCCACTCTACCTACAGTGGACAAACCAATCCCAGGTCTCATTCTCTGTATCCACTGTAACAACCAGCACTTTTCTTCTAGGATGGGCAGGCATTTGAGCAGTGGCTGGTATCAACATGGGGCGGTGTCACCCAGCCCTTCCAACACAGCAGCTTTTTACTGCCCTCTGACATCTTTCATGCTCTTAACCTCCCCTTTTAGCAAGCATTTTGACGGTCACTCTTCCCTCTTTTTCTTCAGAAAGTCCACACTGACTTTCTGAACCCCGACCCTTTGGCCAATAGACCTGTAGATGGGATCTGCCTGAGTGGTCCTATTCCTGCTTCCAACCTGGACCCACTTCGAGCTCCTGTCCCATTTACGTTACAATGCAAACCCACAACTCCAGAGCTTCCTTCACACTCTCCTTCCCTCTCATCCTAATGGAGACCCTACCTTCGTTCTCTCTCTCCCCAGCCTTCCCTAGAGACAGGGTTCCAGAAAAGCATCAGGAGCTTCCTGCACCCTGCCTGCTCATTGCAGTGTTGTTAGAGGGGTGATCCAGCCAGCCCATCACTGCCTTTCTTTTCCTCATTCGTAGCCCATTTCTGTAGGCAGCAGGTCAGACTAAGACCCTGATAGAGTGTTCTTCTGATAGAGGGAAATGGGACTGAGACTGAACCCTGGCCAAAAAAAAATATTTTTGACTGTGCCTTAAAATTTTTTTTTGATATATGCCATAACTCATCTGCCTAAAGGAAAGTGGTGATATTCCAGTGTCCGATAAGCACATCAGACAAGCCCACAGATCATGGGAACCAAGAGAAAATAGCCCTGCAGGGTTACATGAGCCTCGGACGTGTTCCCGGACAGAACAAGTGTTATTGTAGGATGACACAGACCAGACCTCAAATCAGATGCTAGTTAGTCCTGTTCTCAGAGGAAAAGCGGGCTGGAAATGGAGCTTTGAGACAGGGTCAAAAGCAGCAATGCTCTTTCTGGCTGGCAGCCCTCATCCCAGCCTTGTCTCTACAGAATCTCACTGGGAAAAAAGACAGAACCCAGAAACATCTATGTGACTGTCTTTAGATTTAATCATGATTGATATTTGTCCAAGGAAGTGAATGAATCCAGGACAGGGAGAGAGATGTCTCATCAGAAGAATGAGCAGGATGTTTCCCAAATTTGCTTTCTGGCCCATTAAAATCTCATCAGGACAAATCTTTTGGGGGCCTAAGTCACCCTGGAAGCATTTGGAACAGCAGATAACTGGGCAAGAAAGAGGGTGTCAATTTAGATGTCTTTCACTGGATGGGGATAGTGGCAAGCACAGGGCAAATAGAATCATCATAGCTGTTAACCAAGAGGTCATCAAATTCAGCCTCTTGATTTTCGAGAGAAGGGAAGTGGGGCACACAGAGGAAGGGGGTGTGCCAAGGTCACACTGCCACAAGGCTTGGAGGGAGGTGAACAAGGATCAGCACTCAGTTCGCCTGATGTCTAGCCCAGGTGTTTTCCTTGCATTGAGCCTTGAAGGACAGACAGCCCAGGAATTGGCGAGGACGCTGCTTCCCTTTGCTGCCGCTCTGTAGCTGGGGAGAAATGGGCCAGGTCCTAAATGCAGCTCTTAGGGAAGTCTCTAGCAGGTTGTCAAGTGTTCCTGCCAGTGCTGAGCTGGCAAAGGAGGGTGGGAGAAGTGCTTAGAAATCCTGAGCACTGAAAGGTGGCCTGTAATTGTAAAATTCCATTTCCTTTCAATTAGCAGCTGATTGCATTTGATGAGCTGCAACATTGTTTCCTCCGTGTAGATTAGGAGTCAGAGCAGTCAATGAGCTGTGAAATTCTCTCCCTGCTGAAACAATAGACAGTGATTAAAGCGCAGCTAATCCGATCATTATAGCCAGAGCCCACTGATCATTAGCTGCTAACCAGATCCCTGAGAGCAGCTTTAGCCCAGCCAAGGCGGGCTGGATGCAGCAGGTAAATGCTACCAATACACTGCCTCCCTCCTCCCTGTGCCCAGAAGTCCCTGTTGGACCCGAGGGTTGGGGCGAAAAACTGGATGCCACAGTGGATACAGGGAATGAGACTGCCAAGGGCAGCTTGATATCAGAGAGACAGCCAGGACTTCAGAAGCAGAGGTAACAGATTTGGGATCATGTCCCATCCACCCCTCACCCCCACCCCCCCAGTTTGTGTTTCAATCCTGCAGCTGGCATTAGCTATTTACCCCAAATCCTTAATAATACCTTCCTTGTGTGGCTGTTCTGAGGATTAATGCCACGGCCTAGGTAAGATCACTGGCATAATGCTAAAGGTCGGTAATAACACCAACTAACATTTTCAAGTGTTTGCTACGTGCCCAGCACTGTTCTAAGGGCTTTGTATGGATTAACGTGTCTAATCCTCGTAACAGCCCTGATACAGTAGTTGCTATTATTATCCCTGTTTCTTCAATGAGGAACACATAAGTTCAGGAACTTGCACAAGATCACTTAGCTTTAAGAGACAGAGCTGGGATTTGAACCAGGCAAGCCAGCTCAGAGGTCATGCTATTAAATACCCAACTTGGCTGCTTCTTACAAAAAGAAAATGTCAACATTCATTGTCTCCCTTTGCTAACTCTGTACTTTTCAGACTTTACAGTGCAGAAGAATTAGCCAGTGAGAGTGCTAAAAATGCAGATCACCTGACCTAAACCCCAGAGATTGGAATTCAGTAGGTTAGAGAGAAGACCCAGGAAACTGTGTTAATCAGCACCATGTGCAATGTGGTTATGACGACTCAGGACTAACCTGGAGAAATGCTCGAGGTTCTGGGAGCAGCCATGTCTTGTCCAGGACCCACATCGTCCTGTAGCTCTGCTGCTTCACTCAGGGCTACTGCCCAACACCTGATGAGGAAAGCCACAATGGCACTCACAGAGGATGAGAAAGGGGCAAAAAGCAGAGGTTCTGGAACCACATGGAGTAGGATTTGAAAATCTGTTCCTTTTCTTACAGGAGTGGCCATATAAATCATCATTCAAAGGAGGACACTTCTGAGAGTAAAAGGGAAATTAATTAATAATTATTCCCAGTCTAATTAATAATGAATAATTATTCACCAGTCTAATTAATAATTAGACTGTCCCAAGCAAACTGGATGTGGGGTCATTGTAGCAGAGCCGCTGGTGACCTTGGTTCTCTAGTGCTGAGGTGTGCTTACAGCAAGCACTTGTGGAGAATGAGCGACCAGAGAATAGGACAAGCAGGAAGAGTGGAGGGTTAATGACCCTGACGCAGCATCAACCAGTGGCAGATAAGGGATCTATAGGTTAACTCCATGATGTTCTTGCCTCTAGGACCACATAGTAACTCTTAAGAGTGTTCTGTTCTGTCTCTGAGAGTTCCTCAGTAAGACAGAGGCCCAGTCGCTCATCATGGTAAGTAGCTGGATAAACATTTACCTTCTTTCCGTTTCTGTATCTCATGTTTCTCATCTTTACTGGTTATTTCGTGAGGTCACCTTGCAAATGAATTGACACCCAGATCCTTTGCTCAGTCTTCTTCTGAACTCAGAACAGCTGCCTTACCACTTAGGAGCCATGTGACCTTGGGCAAGTACTTAAATTTCAGCTTGGAAATAACAGTAGAGAATGCATGTTAAAGCATGGCATATGGCAAACACTTGATACATGTCCAGTTCTAGTGTTATTATTATTGAATTGTTATTGCTCTGACTCACGTCGGAGCATTTTTTCTCTGCTATCTTGCTGTCACCTCTTCATCTCTCCTCCAGATTGTTGCAATCCTCTCTTATCCGGGGTGGCTTCTACACCATGGCCAGGGTGCTGACCTCTTATTTTACTGCTCCCCTTGGCCTGCTGTATACCAGGCAAGTGCCAGGGTTTGAGAAATAGTAATATTGTGTTTTTAAAATTTGTTTTGAAAAGTGATTCAGAATTGCTACTTCAAGAAGAGAACATAACTTAATTACAAAATGCAGAAGTCTAACACTTATATTGAAGAGCAACACACATTTAAAAAGCCCTGAGCTGATTATCACTCTTGCTTTCAAATACCTTCTTTTGCCTGACACTGAAAGAAGTCAAATGCAGCATTCAAGGACACATCATAACCTTTGACCTCCTGACAGGTCGGCTAACACTGCTTGTGCTCAGAGGCCTATCCCTACAGGGAAAATGCCATGGAAAATCCCCCCTCTGCCTAGCTCCTTCTTCTTCCTACTTTTCTTTCAAATAAAACAAATGTGAGGTATGATTGCCTACTCCTTTTAATTTTTTGCTAAGCACAGTTGAACAGCTGATTTTAGTCATTTCTACCTATGGTTTCCTCCTTAGAGCTAATTAGTTTCTTTTCAAGTAATTGCAAATAGTACATTTTCCAGGCCCTTGGAGTAGAGGCTGACAACTAGCTGGCTGGAGTGGGCTCTTATCAATAGCTCACGGAAATTAGACACACAAACATCACACTGGGGCCCTGAGGGTTGCTCTAAGTCGTTTAGAAGAAATAGCTCACGAAAGTCCCAGGGCTCTTTTATGAATGGACTCGCTGATACAAAATCTCTGGGATGTGGTGGGCAACAGGATAATGGAAGCTTCCCTAAGCATCCAAATGGACTGAGCTTTACATGAGATCAAGCTTCACTGTGCCACAGATACTGTGTTTGGTGCTGTGAGTGAATCAGGAACAAGGGTTGAGTCTAGAGATGAAGGGGAGGGAAGAGAGTGGGAAGGGCTCTCTCCACAGGTTTAGAGAAGTGGACAATGATGTTCACTAGAAGGGGAGAGACACACAGACTTCATGGAGTTCTTATCATTGTTATCAGTCATTCCCCTGCACCAGAAAGCCAGTCCTACTACCCCATCCTCCAGGAACCAACGAAGAGATAGATCATGCTTATAAAGTTCTCACTTTGGTCTTTGGAACAGAGTGCCTACTTTCAGGTCTGTGATTTTCCATCGAATCTGGTTTTATATTTTAAGAAGATTTCTTTTCTTGTTCTCATCCTTCAGTTTTAACACTGTGGTTGTTGCTGCTGTTGCTGTTGTTGTTTTGAACCTTAGATGAAGAGAGCTGAGTCATTTGGACTCCTCAGTTCACGGCATGCTGCTTACCCTGATCAGTCCATGTGACTCCCTCTACCTTTGCATGAGTTTCCCATTGCCGCTCTAACAAATTACCACAAACTGAGTGGCTCAAAGAAACACAAGCTTATTACTTTACAGTTCTATAGATGGGAGTCCAGCTAAAATCTCACTGGGGTAAGGTGAAGGTATCGGCAGGGCAGACTCCTCTGTGTAAGCTCTAGGAATGATCTGGGGTAAGGTGAAGGTATTGGCAGGGTGTATTCCTTCTGTGTAAGCTCTAGGAGTGATCTGGGGTCAGGTGAAGGTACTGGCAGGGTGTACTCCTCTGTGGAGGCCCTAGGGATGATCTGGGGTCAGGTGAAGGTATTGGCAGGGTGTACTCCTCTGTGGAGGCTCTAGGGATGATCTGGGGTAAGGTGAAGGTACTGGCAGGGCGTACTCCTCTGTGGAGGCTCTAGGGATGATCTGGGGTCAGGTGAAGGTACTGGCAGGGTGTACTCCTCTGTGGAGGCCCTAGGGATGATCTGGGGTAAGGTGAAGGTATTGGCAGGGTGTACTCCTCTGTGGAGGCTCTAGGGATGATCTGGGGTAAGGAGAAGGTACTGGCAGGGTGTACTCCTCTGTGGAAGCTCTAGGGATGATCTGGCGTAAGGCGAAGGTACTGGCAGGGTGTACTCCTCTGTGGAAGCTCTAGGGATGATCTGGGGTAAGGTGAAGGTACTGGCAGGCTGTATTCCTTCTGTGGAAGCTCTAGGAGTTGATGTGTTTCTTGATCTTTTCCAGACTCTTGGAACGTCCCACTTTCTTTAGCTTATGACTCCTTCCTCCAGCTTCAAAGCTGGCAACTTAAGGCCTAGTCCCTCTTGCACTGTCTTCTCTTAGTCACATCTTCCTTTGACTGACTCCTGCTTCCCTCTTCCACTTTTAAAAATCTTTGTGATTACATTGGATAACCCATGCTATGCTTCCTGTCTGCTGATTAACAACCTTAATTCTGTCTGTAACCTTAATTCACCCCTGTCATGTAACAAAACAGATTCACAGGTTCTGGGAATTAAGATGCAGATATCTCTGGGGGAGGAAGTTTATTCTCACTACCATAATCCCTAATCCTACACCTATTCCCTGTCCCCATTGACATCTACTCCAATGTCTTGACATGTGCCCTGAAATATGCACGTTTTCCTTGTAAATATGCCATTAGTGTGTGTTTTTAATTGACATTTGGGTATTATTCTATGTTTCGTCTGTGGTGTTCTCATATATTTTTCATTTAATGCTATGTTTATGACGTCTTCCATGCTGTTCTGTACACGAGTTTGATGCTCCTAACAACTGCATATTATTTCATAGTTTATGTCTACCTCATTTTACATATCCAGTTCTCCACCGATGGACTCTTGTATTGCCTTCACTCTTCTCTGAGCTTATCATGACAGACATCCTAGTGCCTGGTCCCAGTTAGACTCACATAAGAATTTTTCTAAAATAATGAACTAAGGCTAGGATTTCTGGGTAACAGGGTAAAGGCTAGAATTGCTGGATCACAGGATATATCTATCCCTACTTAGTTTCACTAAGCTCTCTTGACTGGCTGTACTAGTTATACTTGGACTAGCAGAGTTGTTAAACCTCTTTACCATCATGGGGATGCAGCATCTTCTTCTGTCAAACCTCTTTCCCGGGAGCAGAGCTGAAAGCCTTTTCTGGATCTCTCTTCTGTTTTCTTAGGCTTCAGAGGCACTAAATACACTTTCCTCCAGCCAGCGCTTACGTCCCCCTCCACTTCTCTTTTCTATGTGTTAGCACTATGCTGGGCATAGGCCTCCATCAGAGGAGTCTGTTCTTTGGCTATGCAAACTCCGAATTTTATTTCCATCCCTTCTTCTTCATCCCCATGCCTCTGGACTCAGGTTTTATTAATGTAACAAGGATTTCTTAGCACTTAACTGGCTCAAATACCTTACCCCCTTCTCCCCACCCTAGATATTGGGGACATCAAAAGAACAACTAAGGGGCTTACATTCTGGTGTCTTGTCAACTCAACTGCAAAAACTTAGCCAGGATCCAGTCACCTCTCCCCAAAACCAACCCAGTATAAGCAAACAGAACTTTGGCACTTTTCACCTGGACATTTGCATTTGTCTTCTACTTGGTCTGCCTGCTTCCACCCCTACCCCATCTAGTCATTTTTCTACACAGCAGCCGGAATAAACATTTAAAAATATAAATCAAATCCCATCTCTCTTTTATATTTGCTAATAGTCCATTGCCTATAGAATGAGATCCACATCCCTCAGCCTGGCTTGCCAAGCCGCATGGCATCTGGCTGCTCTCTGTCTCTCTGACCTCACCTCGTGTCACTCTTGCCTTCATTCATCATATTTCAGCCCCATTGCCCTTTTTCCATTCCCAGGATAGGTCAATCCTGTTTCTGCCTCTCAGTCTTTGCAGTAGCTGTTCCCTCTGCCCAGAATGCTCTTCCCTCCAAGTTGCTCAGGACTGGCCCTGTTCCATCATTCATGTGTTGGTTCTGATTTACTTCTCTACATGGTACTTATTTATTTGCTAGCACTATTTATTTATTAATGAGTTCATTGCCTATAGTCCCCTGTAGTGTGTGAGCTTCATGAGAATGCTTTTATTTCTCTTGTTCACTGTTCTATCAGTACCTAGTATACTGCCTGGCATGGGGGTGGAGTTAAAAAATGCATGGGTTTTAACTTTTTTTGAGGAATGAATGAATGAATGAATGAATGAATCTAAAGCAGTGGTTCTTGATTCTGACTATGCATCAGAGTCATTTGCACAAGGCCAAGCTCTACTTAACACCAATTGAATCAGAATCTCTAGGCACAGGGCTCGGGTATTGGCACTTTTTAAAGCATCCAGACAAACATTCACTTAAGGCTCTGAAGCAACCCTTTGAGGATGAGAGCCCATCTCAAGTAGGGAAACTTAGAAAACTTCCTTGGGATTTTGTATTCAAACTCTTAAAAAGAAAAATTTTCTTTTTCTTTTTCTTTCTAGTGTTAGCCAAGGCGCTGTAAGCCTCCAGCTGTCTGCAGCTATGTCAGCTGACACTACCACCATTCCTGGCTACAAGGAGGAAGCCAAGCTATAGGAGGAAAGAACAGGACCAACTCACAGAGGAGCTGAGCCAATTCAAAGGCGAGGGAAGGCATGGCAGGGAGGCGTAGGAAAAGTGCTGATGGTATTGTGGGAGACCCTGGAGTCTCTGAGTCTAGCCCCACTTAAATTCTCTTCTCTGCTCAAGTTGGCAGCAATTAGGTTTCTGTCATTTGCAGCTAAAGGGATCCTGACCAATACTT